GTTTCACAGTCTAAATTAGTTCATACTTTACACATGCATGGCTTAATCTTGAGACAAGCATATGACTACTGGCAGGATCAACCAGGTAACATTCCTAAATGATGCCCCGAGCACGAGCGACGAAAGAACACTCAATGCAACAAAGCAGTCATGCGTAGGACTAGCGTGCCACATTGGCACACGGGGAAAGAAGAAGATGAATTCCAATGCCCCGTGCTTATACCAAATCCAAGAGCCATGCACAACTACTCGTATGCCCAGATCGCAACCAAGGGTTGCACCGAGCACAAGTAGGCGTTTGGCGTCCATCCCACGCACCACCCTCGCATACAAACGAGGACGAGCACAGGACGGAAATCGAGAGTTAACATGCAAAATGCCACCCGCAGCGGTATTCGACACCGGAAACCATGGAAAATCGGCCCCAGCAGCACCGAGGCAATCGACACTGAGAAGGCAAGGCGGCAAGACGTCATTGCTACGGCAATGATCCATCTTAACCACAAATGCCGGAGACAACTCACGCACCGTCTTGCATCGCAAACATCAAGTGCAACACAACTTACACCAACAGACCACACGGTTGGAATCGCTCAAGCATATAGTCCACCACCGCAAGTTGAACGCCATGACACTCGCATCAATAAGTGCGAAAGGGAAAAGACCGAAATAAACCCACTAGTCGCATCGCCAACGAGAGGAGACCGAAACCACATAGAGTAAAGCAACTACTCGTGCCACGCCGTTGCAACCGACCGAAACCGACTAGTGCATACGGCGACCATGCTGAAACCCGGGCAGCGAAAGACCAACGCCGTGGACCGGAGAACCACGACCGAAAACCGAAACCCACATAGAGCAGTACAAACTGCTCGTGCCACGCCATTGCAACCGACCGAAACCGACTAGTGCAAATGGCGACCTTACCGAAACCCAAGCAACGGAGAGACCAACGCCGTGGACCGGAGAGCCACGCAAAGAAACCGAAACCCACATCGAGTAGTGCAACTACTCATGCCGCGCCATTGCAAACCGACCGAAACCGACTAGTGCAAAAGGCGACCATACCGAAACCCAAGCAGCGGAAGGGACCAACGCCGTGGACCGGAGAACCACGACCGAAAACCGAAACCCACATAGAGCAGTACAACTGCTCGTGCCACGCCATTGCAACCGACCGAAACCGACTAGTGCAAATGGCGACCTTACCGAAACCCAAGCAACGGAGAGACCAACGCCGTGGACCGGAGAGCCACGCAAAGAAACCGAAACCCACATCGAGTAGTGCAACAACTCTCATGCCGCGCCATTGCAACCAACCGAAACCGACTAGTGCAAGAGGCGACCATACCGAAACCCAAGCAGCGGAAAGACCAACGCCGTGGACCGGAGAACCACGGCCGAAAACCGAAACCCACATCGAGCAGTACAACTACTCATGCCACGCCATTGCAACCGGCCGAAACCGACTAGTTCAAACGGCGGACCTTACCGAAACCCAAGCGACGGAGAGACCAACGCCGTGGACCGGAGGGCCACGCAAGGAAACCGAAACCCACATTGAGTAGCGCTACTACTCATGCCACGCCATTGCACACAACCGAAACCGGCTAGCGCAAACGGCGACCATGCCGAAACCCATGCAGCAGAAAGACCAACGCCGTGGACCAGAGAACCACGGCCGAAAACCGAAACCCACATTGAGTAGTGCCCTATGCCGCGGGGCAACTACTCGTGCCCACCCAACCTGGAAACCGCGGCATTCCAACCAACCGAACCGAAGGAGAGGATAACCAACCCACCGAAACCCACGCGGCGAAAATATCCAACTCCGTGGCATGGGAACCCACGCGGAACCCACGCTGAGAAGCGCCCCATGCCGCGGCGCAACTCTGCCCGTGCCCACCCGTCGAGGAGCACTCCCCCCCTATAGTAGATAAAAAAAACATATACACTGAATCTCGGAGTAGCGACATTTTGGCCCGAAAAGGTATAAATTTTTATTTCAATTCTTTTTCCTTTATTTTTTGCTGAAAAATGCCTAATTGTACACAAAACATTGAAAAATCAATATGTAAATGAGGATTAAACTTAAACTTAATTAAAAAGTAATAAATTAATTAATTAATATTTAATTAATTATAATCTTAAATTTAATTAAAAAATCAATTAATTAATATTTAATTAATGATTAAACATAAACTTAATTAAAAAATTAATTGAATTTAATATATTAATATTTACTTAATTACTAAACTTAATTTCAATGTAAAAAATTAATATATTTAATTATTAAACTTAACTCTAATTAAAAAATTAATGCTTATTAATTATTAAACCTCATTTTAAAGGCATGATACTTCAATAAAAAATCATAAAATCATATTAACACACATATGATAGTGATCTATGGAAATTTTTCTCTCTTTAATGTTTTCATTAATCCTTATTATCCTTAATCTTTTATCCTTGATTAAACATTTATCGTTTTCTTTAAACT